TTAACTAATACGATCGTACGGTTTAGCATTTTCGCTAATTGTATGAATGTATAAAAATGAGCATTCGCCGAAGTTTCCTGCTCCGGTACATGGTAAGCAAATAGAAATTTACATTGATTGGTTCCGCAATATTTTTGATTTGTTTTTGCGTCCATTTCATGTAAATTCACGAGAGTTGATGAATTAGATTTCATTTTTACGTCCATTGGACTTTGTTTTACGTCTATGAGGAATAAATGAGTCGTAATCAGCCATACGAGGCATAAGATGCATATAAGAATTATGAGTTGGAAAGATTTTATGAGTCTCGTATTTTTCATTCTGTTGAATGTCGTACGAGTAAAAAAAAACGTGAAAATAAAATCCGACACCTTTTATTTATATATAAAAACAAAAAGGGTAAAACTTCATAGGGAATTTACAAACTTGGCAAAGTGAAATTGTGTCGTGTTACAAATAATTGGGCTTTTAAACAATCGATCTTTGTCGTTCTATTTAAGTGAATTTGTGTGACATCAAATATGGCAATTTTGATTGAACCTTCCATTTTGGTAAGCATTGGAAAAACAAATAAATTAACCTGATGGCTTTTTTTTGGTAATAACCGCCATTGTATAACTTATACATAAAAAGAATGATTTTTTTTTTGTCAACCAAACAGGATGCACGGAAAAGAATTAACAAGTAAACAACGAGAACGAATTATCGGCGCCTATCTTGCTGGTACTAACGGATATGATACTATTAACCTTATAAAGAAACTTGTTCTCTACACCCTAACAAACGTTCTGGAACGATCGAAAGTTAATTTTGACAAATTCAATTGCATTATAAGTTTTCATTGATATGGAATTTAAACATTAAAAGAACTTTGTCGAGATTAAAATATGTAAAAATAAAATTATTATAATACCATTCGGATTCCTAAAACAGCAATTTTATCCACCAGGCATTTTTATTGGAACCCATTTTATCTCCTAATCAATCGTGGAAATTATCATCTAATCACTATTTGCAAATACGTACATAAAATAAAATTTAAAAATTGTACTACAAGAAAAAAACCTCTTTTTAACCAAAAACACCAAATTGATCAATAAAATTGGTGTAAAGAAAAACATAATTGGTAAGAAGAGTGGAAAAAGTATTGTATAGTTTGATGAATCTAGATTTGCTCTTTTTAAATCAGATGGTCGCGCAAGAGTATGGCGTAGGGCTAGGGAGGCTTATAACAAGGATTGTATTCAATTCACATTAAAATTTGGTGGTGTCAGTAATGTTTTGGGTGTTTTTCTTGGTATGGTGTTGGCCCTTTTGTTGTAGTAAAACAAACTTTAAATTCAGAAGAATACTCTTTCAAATAATTTTATCCGTTGGGTTCGTAACTATCTAAATCTAATATTTCAACAGGATGGTGCACCTTGTCATACTTCTTATACTACTTGGATGACAACACATGGAATTTCAGTTAGATTAGGTGGCGCAAAGTCTAGATTTAAACCCTATTGAGAATTTGTCCAATACGAAAAAGGAACCTTTGCCACATTTTTTTTTATTTATAGATTAAATAATAAAAAAAGTTTTGGTTGAATTTTTTAGCATCATTAAAATATTTTTGATCGTCATTCTGGTAATTTATTTAATTTTCGATCCCAGAATAAATTCGGTTCTTCAAAGAAAGTTATTAAGTTAATTTTGAATTAAACGCGAAAAGGGTCTATTATTATCACACCTTTCATCAGGATATTAAAAATATTAAAGATTTTCATATATTGCGAACTAATTATTTTTTTTTTTTAAATAAATATAATAAATATGTACACTCCCCGGTCAAAAGTATTGGACCAAAAAAAAAGTTATCGCAACTTTTAAATTTATGACTAATTT